TTTTTTTTTTTAAAAAAAAAGGTTTTTTCCCCAAGGCGGTTGCAGCCAAGGGGGGGGGGGGGAGAGTTTCAGTATTCTAGTGCCCTCTACTGACAAAGAAAAATATTGCAGGTTTTCTTAATTGGGCTATTTTTAAAAATGTGTGTATTTTTTTAAAAAATCCAAAAAGAATGCTACAGTGCAATAGAAATAATTAAATAAAAGGCAGTGTGAAATGTTTTAAAACAAAAAGGGGCCCTGCCCAGTTTTTGGCCCTGGCCCTACTCCCTGCTGTGGCCTGCAGAAAGAGTGCGCCCCCCACTTTAAATTGCTGTTTCCTGTTTCCAACAATGGAGGGATCTGTCATTTAAAGAAGCAGCAAGCCAGATTAAGCATTGGTTTGGCTTGCAGATTGCACTAAGCCATGGTTTGTAAATAAACCACAGTTTATAGCTTACCGAAGGGCATGAATCAGGCCCCCTGGCTTCTTCTTCCACAAGCCTTTTGATTAAATCGATCGGAGCCACGTTCCCAAAGCCAGGGGTCTGAGAGCTAGATGGGGCCTTGGACAGGCAATCTACGGCCTCTTTGCAAACACACCCACTCTTTCCCATAAGCCACACCTGACCCAACGACCAACAGATGCAAACCGCTCAGAATTGGCACGCCTGCCTTGGCCACATCCACGTCTCTGATTAGATTTATTTCCGTTTCATTCCTGTATATGTACGGCGGTCACTTAGCAACAGCTCAGCTCGGCATTCTTGCCTCAGCGTCCCACTGGGATTTTTTTCATGCTTGAGTAGGCGTTGGGGTGATTACACTGTCTCCTTCCTCCTTCCCACTTACTAAACCGTAGGAAGGCCAGGCCTGGGGACCCTTGTGAGATAACCTGGCCCTCCAGGTCTTCTCCCCGCTTCCCTGTGCACCCTGAGCGCATGCAGGGAGGCCTTGACCCTCTTTGCTGAAGGTGGCCTGGAGCAAATCCTCTCTTGGCTTCTTCTGGGGACAGTAATTCATTTCTGCCTGATTGGAAATTCCTTCTCCAGCTTCCATGAGTGAAATCTTTCTGCTATAAACAAGTCAGATAACATCACTAAGCACACAAAAGCTGTCCGCTCTGCCTGAGAAGCAGCAGCTTTTAACGTGCCCAGATGTTCTCAGATGTTCTAAGAAGAAAGGCAGGGCCACGGGGTCATTTCTCCAGACCCAGCAGAGGCCCCTTCATTCTGGCCTCTTTTTATAAACAAATGCGCATGGGGTCCTGCTCGTTCCACATAGCTGAGGACCCCCCAGCTTCTTCCAACTTGGAGTCCTGACACAGCAGCACCGTCGTTGGAGGCTGTGTGGGCTGAGGAAGTCGAGACTGACCAACACGGTTGGAAAAGACGGTGTAGGATCATAGACCTGGGCTTCATCTGCATGTTCTCCTTGCCCTGGTACAAGAATGGCTTACTAACCATTTCTCAAGGGCAGGTATGCACATCATCCTGCACCCGACCCAGCCCACCGTGAAGACAAATCTTCATCTTTTCTTGCTCTGCTTCATTGTTTTCTGACTTCTGCTGGCACAGAAGGGCTGGTCAGTCCATCTGCTGGGTTTCATTTCATGCCTCCACTACAATTGCCTGTTGTACCATTTGACTACTATGTTGAGAATGCCCCCTCCCCTCCAATTACTAGTCACTACATCCATAGCCATCCAGTCCTGGTCTTCTGGCCCTCTTCTGAAGGGGCCTTCCTGTGGTGGACCAGATAAACCCTAACTTATGCTACCGAACTTGGGAACAGTAGCTTTGTTTTTTTCCAGGTTCACCGCAGACAAGTGAAACAGTGGGCCTTTTTATTTTTAGCAAACCAAATGAAATTGAGCCAGTTTCTCTCTCTAGCCCAATTGAAAGGAAAAACATTAAAACTAGTTTTACACACACAGACACACACACTGGTTCACCAGTAGACATGCCAAACAGGAAGGTGTCCGATGGCAGAGAAATGTGGAATGTGGAGATAACCTTGAAGAAGACATGCAGGAACAGTGAAGTCAAGATAAGCGACAACTGACTCCTGGAAAAGGAGAAATTATTACAAAGAAACCCCACCCCGAGTCTGTTTGGTATAAAGGGGATAGAGGGAAAGCCTAGGAGGCTTTCAAAATTCTGTTATTATACCCTACAGAAATAGAGTTCCAGGAGTCCTCGCTGTGCCTGTTTTCTGACCTGGCCTACCTCGAAGGGCCCCAGGAAAGCAAAGTGTATGAGAAGGAGACTCAAGATAACTCCACTTTGATTCTGTATGGCATAAGAGGGGGAGAGGGAAACTTCATTAGCTTTTGAGATTCTGTTATTATACCCTACAACAATACAATGGAGTTCCAGGAGTCTTTGTGGTGCCTCTTCTCTGACCTAGCCTAGCTCAAAGGTTTGACATACATATGAGAGGGAGTCAATAAAGTGGGGCTCACACAAAACTTTCTCACGTGTCTTTAAAGACCAATCCATGGAAGGAAAACCAGCATGGGTGGGAGCAATCAAAAAGCAGGGAAATCCACCATCGGACAGAATGCTTGGCCAGCTTCATTGTCAAAGGCGGAGAACAACTGAAATCCAGACAGTGATGCCTTAAACCAGCTTCATTCCCTGTTGGTTTCATCCCAGGAGACAAGCAGCCTCAGCCGGGCTGTGCAGAAGAGCCCTTAGACTGGGTTCGAAGATTATGCTAAGCTGTTGAATAATTCATCCTTGGATTAACTCAGTGTGTGCTGATAAAGCCAACCACATTATGGCTGAGAGTAACGTATGGACCCTAACTTCCTCTGTGAAATGTTAGAGGGTTATCCCAGCGACTTCTAGTAATAATTGCAAAAAAATCAAATAGGAGGAAGCCACTTCTAGTATGTAGCAGAGAGAGGTAACTCTTCTGCTGGAAGGATCCCCGTCTCTGTCTTGTGTCCCTGCGACATACTTCAAAGCAATGGGGAATTTTATCAGCTAAACAGTGACAATTCCTACCCCAACCCAACCTTCAAATGCAAGTTTTGTGTCACTTAGTTGAGATCATTCCTCCCCCTAACCCATTGACGATCAGCTTCAGGAAGAAGTCTCCTCTTGGTTTAAGTTTTTTTAAGGAAACAGCCCTGCTCAAACAAACCAAAAATGTTTTCCCCCACCCCCCTAATCCTTCTTTGACTACTCTTAAAGTAAGACTCCCCAGTGGCTTACATCAGCAGAAATGATCAAGCGAGAGGCAGGAAACAAGAGCTAAACTGGTGACGTGATCCCTCGGAGGAGAACAGTCTGAGAAACAAGAAGACATTGTTCTTTCTTTGCTTTTGGAAAAACAGATCAGGGGGCTGTCAAAATCCACAGAAGAGTTTTTGGGATCCAGTCTGACTAATCTCATTTGCTCAGTTCTTTTTCGCAGAATCTCCCCGCTTTGGGCTACCTTTTAGACCCACTTTGAAAAAAAAGAATAGGTGGCTTGTCAGCATCTCTTCGTACATCACGAGGGCCTCTCTCAAGGAGAGAAGAGTCAGCCCTTGATTTGGGGTATTTACGTTCTTTAAACAAGAACTTCTCCAACGACAGAAGGAAAGGACAGGAAAAAGATTGCAATTAAAAAAAGTGAAGGTGGGATGGGAAGGTTGAAACGCCATGTCTGCAGATTTGTTTGGGGGAATTTGATGAGAGTTGCCACCTCCTCTACTCAGGCTGGTGGCTTATCTTGAACCGTCCAAGGTTGTCCACAAGATATGGTCAGAACGGTCAAAATGGCAGAGCCACCACAGTGCAAACAGAGCTCCAGCTGTTCTCTGTGTGCCTTCTTGTACCATATCCTGCAGACACCCCTGAAAATCGCTGCCCTAACCTTTATAGAATTTGACCATTATGGGTAAATGAAAACTCCACCTGCACAGGTTGAAGTTTCTTTATTTAGAAGAACTTCTCTTAATTCATTTTCATAAATGGAACTGAAAGGAAGTGGGATATTGTGTTTGTGTGCATGTAACTTAAATGAACATGAGACATGTTTAGCCAGCATGAACAACAGTCATACTCTCTAGACCGGTGTTTCTCAACCTTAGCAACTTTAAGACGTGGGGACTTCAACTCCCAGAATTCCCCAGCCAGCATGGCTGGCTGGAGAATTCTGGGAGT